ATACCTTTAAAAATTAAATTCTTACACAACATTCAATAAAAGTAAAATAAATAAACACTGAAAGGGATATTTTAGCTACTATAAAAACAAAACAGTAAGATTGCATTTCTTTTGCAAGTGACTATCCCAAGTATATTTGGAATTTTAATGACTAAAAGAATAAAATACGAATTTAATAAACCAGAACACAAAAAACATTATAAAGCAAGATATTAGAAATAAAAATGACTGATGCACATGTTGATTTACAAGAAATAAAATATAAATACAGTAACATCACAGTTGGTATTTAACAAGTAAAATTATGAACATTAACAAGCATTATCTAGGAAAGAAAAAAAACCCAACTAAACACAAGAAAGACTACCCGAGTTTTAACACAAAAGAACAACAAATAGAATAAATCTGGTTTGAATGCTGAAAAGTGCAGTTTCAAACTGCAATATAAATACCAATATCCATACAACTCAAGTTATTGTACATAATATTTTTGTTTTGATATGTTGATGGGACATACATTTAAGTTGTTTATGACAGTATGCTATATTCAATATATTTGTGAAACATTCTTCTGCTCTGATATTCAGTAAGCATATTGATTTCACACAACAAAGCTGACAATTCTTTAAATTTTCAAATGGAACAAAAAGGTAGGCCTGACCCCTAATAAAGATAGTGATGGTGTATATTTTACAACTCATTGCAGTGTAGCCCATCTAGCAGAAACCCATGTTAATAAAAAGCTAGCCATGTGCTGAAGTTAGCCTGTCATAGGATGAGAAGACAACAGTAATAACTTCCCACATGATCTTCCTTACAAGATGTAGCTAAAATGGCACATCTTTAACTTTATTATCACCCATCTGGTCCAAAACATCAATGTCAATAACATATCTTCACCCCTGTCCTTCTTCAACTACAGGAGCTGGATTAGGGTCGACCTACAAAAGAAAAATGTTATAAACCTGTTACCAACATTTTTTTTTTTTTATTAACACACATATACACAAAGACAAATTATATAAATTATCAATAAGATAACATGTACAATGTAATATTATATTTCACCAGTAAGATTAAAAGAACTTTGTCCTTTATAAATAACTTCCATTTTTCTGAATGATTTTTATGTGGTTGCACATTAAACCTTTCTTTGGCTAAACAGATATATTATTCACATTTTGTAGACCAAAATCTTTTTTTACTGGCAGTAATTTGTAATAAGAAATTACATTTTTTAGAAAGGACAAGCAACTATCTTTTCTGACAAAATTTCATATTCCAACATAATAGAAAAAGTACAAGTTACAGAAGATGCATACCATCTATAAAGTTGATCCACATATTCTATAAAAATATAATAGAAAAAAGAAGAGGACTAACAATTCACGTAAAGAACTATACTAGTCCCTGTTACGGTCGGATCTCCCTTAATTTCACACAACATAATACTCAATATACTATAATAAACTTCTTAAATTTTACTCATTTACCTCAGAATAAGCAGGAGGAGGCTGATACTGATAGTCATGTACATAGGCATACGTTGGTGTAAATCGAGTGTCTCCTATAATATCATCATCATCTTCAGTAATGTCTACTGAACCTTCAACACACTCAGCATACATTGGTGGTGCTGCATGATACAAATTATAAAACTGTACTGTGTTTCATACCCAAAGATAGTACTTTACACAATAGAATAAAATATACATTTCTACATAATAAAAAACTGAAAATTACACTTTCTTTTCTTTTTTTACACATTTAAAAAATTTTACACAGATAAAAAAAATGAATAAATTGTTGTCGCCATGAATGACAATAAAAGGCTATACAATACTGCAAATGCTTCTTGATTAATAATACTAAAAATGAACAGTTCTTCATAATGTTTCATATCAGCTATAAAAACTATTCGAACTTAGAAAGTAATCTTTAAAAATAATGGAATAGGTTGTGTGTAATAAACTTAATTTTGTGAGATGATAAAAGCACATATTACATACACTGATATTAATTGCTATTTAATCTGAACATTTGATTACTTGTTCTATGAAACAAATGTTAACTTTCCTTTTAGCATGTTAAAAAGAAAGAGGTTTTCTCTCTTCAGTACCATCTTTATAGAGTTTAATACTCTATTTGGTCAGTTTCTTTTAACACAACTGCAATAATATTCTCCTAATTCAAAGAAAAACTTTGTCTTTGGCAACTTCATGCTGTAGCTACCTGTCTTCCTAAATTACACATGCACATCAAGAAAAAACAAAAACTTTCATTAACACATGCAGAATTTTATAAAGAATAAATGTTAACTTGTTCTTATTATTCTATTTATTGAGAATCTATCAACATACGTTCATCAGGTAGTGAGGACATCTCTACTTCACTATATGGAGGTGCAGGTGGGTAAAATGTCAATCTTGCTTCATTAGTTCTAGGTAAATTTTCCATGTTAGACTGAAGTGTCCTATAGTTTGGTGGTCGTGTACGTAAGGGAACTGTTCCAATCACTACAGGCAGGTCCATTGACAGATTATAGGCTCCTGGGATTTGTAGAGTGATCTGAATAATGCAAATATTTGATATTAACATCATGACTGTTACAGAATAAAGTACAATCCTATTTCATCGATAAAAAGATGGCTAGTAAAATATGTTTACAATTACTGTATTGTGGTGGTATGTGTCTATTCACAGCATTTGCTTATTCTTTAAAAATAGCAGTAAGATACATATGAAGAAGACAGAACAAATAGAACACAATTCTCTTCCTGATTAGAATGTCTAGTACTCAAGACAAACAACACTTGACTAGCATACTTACTGTAATAATATAGATCACAGAGAAAGAAAAACATCTTTCAGTTGAATTAATGAAAAAATATTCTTTGATCTAAAAATTATGCTCTGAAATCTTATTTTTTCATATAAAGAAGACACTACAGAAAGAATTTTTTCAAAAGAATGCAAACATATAAAATAGCATACTGTTGCGTCATCGATATCA